CAATGTCAGTCAATGAAGGCGGCTTTAATTAAATATCTAAATGATAGAGCTAGAAAACTGACCAGTCACAGCAAGAACCTAAACAAGGAATTGAAACACACAAAAGAAGTTCTAGTAGTTAATAATTATCCTGCACAGTTGATTAAGAAATCTTTACGGACACACACGAGAAACGAAAAAGTAACAGTCACACGGGTTCGACTAATGACGACAACAAGGAGGGTACCTCAGAAACTTCATGTAGAATCCTCAACAGAGCTGGAATTAGGGTGACATTTAAACCTACAAACTCACTCAGAGATAAACTTTCTCGGTTATTTTGAGGATCCGACAGAACCAATTGAGGAAAATAATATAATCTATCGAATTCCATGTAATGACTGTGAGGTCAAGTATACAGGTCAAACTAGTCGGTTAGCGTCAGTTAGAATAGCGAAACAGGAATTTATCTAAATATAGAGTGACAGACCTAAATAGGAACAATAATCTAGAAAAGCACTCGGCTATTGTTATGCATGCATTAATACACAAACACAGGATAGGGTGGAATAAAGCTTGTGTATTTAAGTCGAATATATGATTAGGTGGAGACAGAGAGACAGAGAGAGAGACTGATTACTTAATCTTTGTTCATCGAATCAACAGCACCCAACACACGTGGAATAGAAATGATGCAACATCTACACCAGAGATATGGAAGATTTCACTACCGATAAGAGCAAATCATATGAGGTGACGTAAGTTTAAAAATCCAGTATCGAAAGTGGAGTGTGATTACACTGATATGATGATGAGTAAGGATAATTTATTCTCGAAATGTCATCAAGTAAGTAAATAATACTAGATCACTACTGTGTGACTTGGTTTTCTTTCTTTCTAGCACTCACTACAATGGCGTATCTACCACCTTAGGGTAATCGAATTTCCCTATGGGATTTTAAACCATTTCACTGAGTGCAGCAGTCAACTACGCTACCAGTGAGCTATTTGGTATACGATTCACCTCCTACAAAACTGGTTGAGACATATCAATTAGTCACTGAAGAACAAACAGTTTCATTTAATCTATTCCTAAGAGCTAACCGAATCCTATCAATCATTTTGTAATATCACAACTAAGCTATGAGGCTGAATATCGCAGTGCACTTTTTTAGATGTTAGCTGGTTAAAGGTCATCGGTAGGAAGACCTATCTATCTAGGGTTTGTTTTCACTTGTCAGCGAGGTGTATCTGCAACCTCGTCAGAAATGATGTCCCATGTCATCGATTACTGCAGTCACTAACACTCCACGTAGCCATTCGGACGGTGATCGAATTTCTTTAGGACTGGATTCAAAACAATACTTAGTTACCGAACAATAATCAGTCTCATGTTGTCTTATGCAAATTCTTTATGTATGTATATTTTAGTGTAGGAAATGTCAACGTGATAAAATAGGATTTCGTTCATTAGATATAAAAATTATTCAACTACAACAATATTTGGCAAAGGTCATTACCACTAATAACACTCACAACACAACGGCTATAGTAATGATTATGACAAGAAACTTTAACAGTATGAGGTTGGAACACAGTAACTAGCATGTCTGCGACGGAAATACCGGATCATAGGACCTGAATAATAATGATTGATGACAGCTAAAGAAGTGGATTTTCGCTACTAATTCTTGGCATAATTGAAAAATCTATGTATTAGTTGGTTGGAGGCAATCAACTGGAAATCCTGCTTGACCTAGGTTCCTTGCTTGTTAGTACTCGTCAGTAAGGCGTATCTTCAACCTCGGCGGAACTGACGTTTTTGCGTGAGATTTGAACTCACGTTACCCAATGTTGTAGTCAGCAACTTTACTACTGAGCTATTCATACAGCGATTGACCACCTGTAGAACTGGGAGAAATCTGTGTTTTAAGTGAGTTTGAACAAAGTAATGGTAATAATTTCTTTTGAACACAAATTACACTACTTCTTCAGTGTTTCATCGACATAATCGTGTATCATTTGGTAGTTTCATGAAAGTATATACATCTGATGAAAAAAGAAGGCAATTAGCGTCCAACTTCATTCTAATTGATATAGATTCACAGTAAAGCTAGTATTACCTTTAAAATTAGCTAAGTGAAGATAAATAAGGTCATGGATAGCAAGTTATCTTTTTTGTGACCTCAATGCTTTCTTAAACAGATCTTAACACTAAACTCTCCGAAGCATCGTTTCCTATATCACTTTGAACAAATAATATAAGGTGTAGAGTTCTTCACAGAGACTCACAGTTTCGATTTTCACAACAGGTATGCGCGTACTTGAACATTGAATTCAAGAATAGGTTTCATCCAGTGGCTTTCTTCCTTCATCGATATCTTTCATATAGCCTACGCTGTACAACTGAGGCATTAACACACAAACAGTCATTTATACATTTTGATATCCCTTTTGACTGCCGATCAGTTATGCATTCAAATCAAGGTTGTCATGGACTAACTAATGTAATATTTTTAAATTCGGAGGAAGTTACTAGTGTAGTGGGAGTTGCTGATTAGAATGGATATAAGTAGTATATGTTGAGAAGGTGGCAGAAATCATAGATAATTACCAGAAATGGGTAAGGATCCCGCCAAGAGGAACACGTGAGACAACGCAGGCGTATTAGGAGCGAATCAAGGTAGAAGCAGAAGAGGAAATGACCCCCATTATGCAAATGAATGTCTTAGTGTAAGGTGTACCACATTTGATGACTAAAGTACCGGATGTTAAAAAAAACATTCCTTCCTTCGTCTCCATCTTCTCGTTCCCTTCAGTTGGTGTTACCGCTTCTGGACGTGATGAAGATTCCGTGGCCTGCAGTGTTCGAGGGTGGAGACATTAAGGTCTTCCTCAGAGACTTCGAGGCCTTTGTGGAGCCGGTGGGTGTCTGGGATCCTGGTGATAACGCCGACTGAGGGAGAACAGAAGGTGGAGATGAAGGAAGGAATGTTTTCTCGTTAACATCTGGTATAGTAGTCATCAAATATCGTGCACTTTCGTCTCCATCGTCTCATCTTCTTCAGTCGGTGTCGCCTCGGGACCCCAGACACCCACCGGCTCCGCGACCTACTCATAGATCCTGAGGAAGACCTTAATGTCTCCATCCTCGAACATTTCTGGCTACGGAATCTTCATCACGTTCAGAAGTGGCAACACCAATTGAAGGGGACGAGAATATGGAGACGAAGGAAGGAATGTTTTTTAGAAGTAGTATTCAACATGGACTGACATCAGTTGGGGAAACAGTGAAGACCTGGGAGCACTGGACAGCTGGTTCGTCCAACTAGTATGGGACTCCTCAGCAGTACGCATCCACGACCCGGCTAGGGATCGAAGTCACGACCTTCAGGTTTCACGGCGAGCGCGCTGACCATTCAGACATTGGGTTGGTTTCCAGTGGTTCACAATTTCCAACTTCTCTCAGTTCACGACAGCGCAACTATCACCCAAGGTCTTCAGTTAGCATTCACTTCATTTCCGACTGATTGACCCCATAGGTCACGGCTTCTCATTAAAGCTTCGTGATATCCATCTGGGAGCAAGTCACTAATGAGCACTACAGGGCAATGTATTTTTGAGATGAATGTTTTTTTATCAACATCTGGTACTTTGGTCATCAAATATGGTGCACCTTGCACTAAGACAGTCATTTACATAATGGGGGTCATTTCCTCTTTTGCTTGATTCGCTCTTAATACGCCTGCGTTGTCTCTTGTGTTTCTCTGGGTAGAATCCTTACCCATTTTTGGTAATTATCTATGATTTCTGCCACCTTCTCAACATATACTACTTATATCCATTCTAATCAGCAACCCCCACTACACTAGGAACATTTTTTCCTGCTAATGTATATGATGACTTTACTGGCTAATTTGGATAATTATCCCTCATATAATTATTATGCAGGCTAGTTTTTTCCTGCAAATTCCCTTCGCATTCAAATTCATTCATGACACTGGTAATGCAAGAATAAAGTTAGTATAATTAACTGGAACATTACTACAAATCTGTTCATACCTGAAAAAAGAAATGAGGGGGTTAGCCACAAAAACTATGTAGCCTAAATCTCATGCCTAAATCAGACTGTATGATGCAACAGCTTCTAATCTTCCCAGTGAGTGATGTTGTCTCTGCTAACACTCAAACCCAAGGCCTATCACTTCAAATATCAGCGCTTTATAACCTCATAAGTCACGGAGTTACTGGACTTTGAAGCGATTAGTTTTTGAGTTCCATTGTTAGTGAGAACAATATGACACACAGGTTGGCAAGTATATCCAGTTGATGAGTTCTAAATGGGGAAAAACTCACATTCATGATTCCACTGGAAGCCTGAATAAACTAAGCATTTGATAAATACGTTGTACCAGAGATATATTTTAAGAATTCTGAGAAAGTAGAAAAATGAATTTTTGATACTTTTCCATAGTGTACAAGTGATATCTTGATGGAATGAGATTAATTCTGACCGTTATGGACGCATCATTGGAATAAATTGTAATTAATCCACATATATGGGAACAACCCACCGCCTAACAAATATACAGAAGAAAATGGAGATGGATTGGACATACACTGAGAAGACCATTCTTAGACATCACGTGACAGGCACTCAAGTGGAATTCAAAGAGAAAACGACAAGTTGTGCATCGGAGGTAAGGGTGACATGGAGGATATCATGCGAGGAAGTAATCAAATCTTATGGGCAGTCGTGGTGCCAGGTTCAAAAGACTGCGGAGAACAGAGTGAGATAGAGGCGTGCTACTGAAGCCCTATATCCCATTATAAACCCAAGGAAAAAGTGGTAATAATAATAATCCACATACAACCTGTATTTCGATTAACCTTGAATGTGACCTTGACTTCTAGAAACCATTTTTATCTGAGTTAATTTAAACAATTTTCATGTTCATTTTTTTGTTGTTGAAATAATTGAATTTTCAAGTTGTCTACCAATTTTATTGTATTACTTCTAGATGGTATACTGGCTATGTCAGAAGATGTAATGGGTCCAGATCTTGTCTTCCTTCTACTTACCTGTTCATATCGTTATGGTCGAGATGATTTAGATGTATTAGGTTTAACTTTTCAAAAAGAATTATTAATTTATACAAAACGTGTATGGCCAAATCATCCAATTGATGATATTGTAACATCAACAAATGATGGAAAATGGCATAAAAAATGGAAAAGTTAAAACGTCAGTCAAGAAGAGAAATAGAATCTACAGAACAAGCATCTTTTGATCTAGTAAATGATGATCCTTATGGAATATTTAGTGATACACTGAAAGATTCTGATTTGGCACCTTTTCAGGCAAAATTGATGAGTAAATATGGAAGACAAGCTGTTCCGTTTCGTATCATTGTAAGTTTCGTCCACTTATACATTATATATATATATATATATATATATATAAAACAGTGAAGCATCATAGAACTCTTCCAGTTTAGTTTACTAATATATAAACTTGGATAACATGAAGAGTACAGCATAAGTGTTCAAAACTTTACGTTATCAGTGGACTATCCTCATCATTACGTAAGGTAAGTTGTGAAGAAACGTAAAAGTACAAAAAGAAGGAGAATAAGAGACATTGAGTACTCCTTTATTATTATTACTACTATTATGGTATTTTTCCCTTGGGTTCCTAGTGGAAGTCTTTAGAACCTAGCTTCATGACTGCTTACAAACTTTTATTTCTGCCTCACACACCATCTCCTTCCTGTCACCCTCGCCTCCGATGCACAACTCATCGTTTCCCATTTGCAGTCCACTTGACGGCTTGGCCTGGCCCGTGATTTCTCCAATCGGCCTTCTTAGTGTATGCCCGATCCAATCCATCTCCACTCTCTTCTTCTGCATGTTGATTGGGTGAAGGGTTCTCGGTTGGTTTGTTGCCAGCCAGAGTTCCTTGTTACTTATTCTTATTTTTCTGACCATCTGGTCTTCAATGTCAATATCGAGTGAGTGTTTTTGCGGTAGTTGTTGATGAAGTTTTTTTGAAGTTCTTTTCGTGATGCGCTAAGTTTCTGAACCATATAGCAGCAGTGACTTGACATTAGTGTTGAAAATCCGGATCTTGTTCCTTGTGCTAAGTGCAGTGCAGTAGATCTTCACACTGATCATTTTAGATTCATAAAAGCCTGTCTTGCTGCCTTTATGATCCTGGCTGCTTCGACATCTTCATCTGTGGCGCCACCGCCTGTAGTTGAAATGATGCTGCCTTGCCTAGGTAGGTGTAGATGAAAGAGACTACTTCCTTTAAGTTTCTCTCCTTCGTGGTGATGGGTGCTTGATGGTGATGCTGTTGTTAATTAGGTATCTTCATCACCTCTGTCTTCTCTACATTCACATGAAGTTCCGTTTTCGCTGTCCTGCCTCTTCTGTCAACTTGCTGGGTTTCGCCTGTAGATCTTTCTGTTTGTGCGACAAGACATTAGACATAAATCCAAATCTTCGTCTGGGGTCTTTTCGTCGGTCAAGTAGCATATGTCCATCTTCTTGCTGCTCGCGGTTTTCTCCATGATATAGTCCACCCTGGTGCCTGATAGACTTAAATGACATGATTATCGGTTTGGATCTGAAAACAATCCAATCCAAATGGATTCACTTACTCATATCAAACGGCTTGGTAATGTTTTCTCTTAGCTGGTTGGAGGTAATCAGAAGGAGGCCTTGGATCTAAGTTTCACGCTTGATAGCAGTCATCATCAAGAGCTGACAACCTCTTTGAAATTTGAAATCGAATCATTCAGTGTTGTAATCGGTGACGTTTCTACTGAGCCACTGGCCTCTTGTTGAGCTGGATTAGATCCTGTGACTGGTCACTGGAGAGTAATCAATCTCATGTTATCTAGTTCTGAGGGATGATCGATTGGTATCAATCATTTTTGCAGTCGGCCAGCATTCTGAACCAGAAAATATAAAACTGATTGTTGTCCAGTAACCAATCACTGTAGTGTCTTTTGTTTCCAGATAAATGAAAGATTTACAAGGAAAGTTTATCACTTTGCAGTCAAAATATTAGTTACTCTAATTATATATGACTGAGTTATTTTTATAGTTTCATTTTCTTGTAGTAGAAAACATTCAAAGGGGAAAGTTTTCATATAAGAGTTCACAGAGATTTTTCTCAAAGATATATGAGATCATGGAACGCTTAGGTCATCAGAGGACGTAAATTTTCTGGTCTACAGGTTAAAATTTAAGTTAGTTTAGGTCTTTATAAACGCTCAAGCTCTTCGTTAAAAGATATGTGATGGGTATGAAAACAGTGTTTTTGTTTTAACAGCTTTGACTATTATTTAAAAGAGTTTTATTAACTTTGTAACTGCTATAGTATAGTTGATGACAGCAGAAAGTAAACTTTAACTTGAATCAAATAAGAAATCGACATCGTACTTTTGCGAAACACTGAATGGTTTGAAAGACTGGTTCATGAAAAAGTACCCCATTTAGCTTGATAGCCGAATCTCTTAACCCACTATCTTTTGAATCTCTAAAATTAATATTTCCCAAAGTGTATCAGTTCGTGATTGTGGTCGACTGGATCATGCAGCAAACAGTGGGGAGCGAGAAGAGGGGAATAAGCTAGCTGGACTGCGGAGAAGAACCTAGGAGATCTGGATTTCGTCGATGACTTATGCCTGATGTCACACAAACTTGAAGATCTACAGGCAAAAACTAACAAGTTGGCAGAAGAGGCGAGGCAGCGAAGACGGGACTTCAGGTGAACATAGAGAAGACAGAAGTGATGAAGATACCGCACCAACAACCACAATAACAACAACAAACTCCAATCACCATCAACGGGAGGAACTTAAAGGAAGTAACCTCCTTCACCCATCTAGGAAGCACTGTTTCAACTACAGACAGCGCTGACGAGGAAGTCACAGTGAGAATCGGAAAAGCAAGACAGGCGTTCATTAACCTGAAACCAGTGTGGAGATCCTCTGCACTCAGCATGTGGAACAAGATCCGGATTCTCAACACTAATACCAGTCAAGTAAGTGCTCCTGTATGGCTCAGAGACTTGGCGCGTCACGAAAGGGATTTCCAACAAACTAAAGATATTCATCAACAACTGCCTACGCTCACTCGTTACTGAAGATCAGATGGCCAGAATAATGAGAATAAGCAACAAGGAGCTCTGGGAACGAACCAACCAAGAACCTATCACCCAACAAATATGCACTGGAAGGAAGTGGAGATGGATTGGGCATACACTGAGAAGGCCGACTGGGGACATCACACGTCAGGCCCTCGGGTGGAATCCTCATGGGAAGCAACGAGTTGGGCGTCGGAGGCGAAGGTGACATGAAGGAGATCGTGCGAGGAGGAAACGAGAGCTTGTGGGCTGTCGTAGAGCCAGGTTCAAAGGATTTCAGAGAACAGAGTTCACTGGAGACGTGCTACTGAAGCTCTATGTTCCATTAGCAACCCAAGGGACTAATAATAATAATAATAATCATAATAATAATAATGATAATAAAGTGTGTCAGTCTCCCTGTGGGCCACGATACAATGATGTCTGTTCAGCTCCTATGTTTAGTGTATTTGGGTTTTGTTAACCTATGAAGTCTGTAGTAAATCTCACACTAAGTGCACCGTTTCTAGTTTGAAGATGAACAGGTTTTCGTTACAGTCGTCGAAATTTGTTTCACTGTTATCAGATTTTGTTGTAAATGCTGTTAACCAAAAGTGATTACAAGCAAAATGATTTTCAGAGACAAAAATGAGGTCTTTAGTTTCACGAACAAATATTTACAGAGACTTCGTAACCATGCCAATTAGTTTCTGCATGTAATAACCATTCGAAAGTAACTAGGAACAGAGTGATAACTGAATAAGCAGCAATCTAAACGTAATACTGCAATTAAAAAAATTCAGTGTGGTAATTCACTTTCATGAAAGACTGATTTATTAGTAGTAATCTTAAATGCACAGTAATGAAATTACCCATCTCAAAAGAAGTAAAACTGTCTCACAATTGCAAACATCCGTTTCTGCTTAGCACCACCTTCAACTTCATAGACTGAGCTTCACATTCGTTAATGTCTCTCTATGGGCTGTTAAGCAAATACAAAAAATTAACTTATCGTATCAGTTGTTCGGTTGTTCATTTGTTATCCCAACAAACTATAGATATTCATCAACAACTGCCACCTACCTTTACTCGATAATGAAGAACATATGGCCAGAATAATAAAAATAAGCAACAAGGAACTCTGGCTGAAAACGAACCAACGAAGCAAGAACCTATCGCTGAACAAATATGCAGGAGGATTAGGAATACACTCAGAAGGCCGATTGAGGAAATCACAGGACATGTCAGGCCCTCGAGTGGAACTTGCATGGGAAACAGCGAGTTGAGTATCCGAGGTAAGGGTGGCATGGAGGAGATGGCGTGTGAGGAAGAAATGAAACCTTGTGGGCAGTCGCAGTGCCAGGTTGAAAAGACTGCAGAGAAGAAAATGAAGTGAGGATCTGCAACTGAAGCGGTTTGTTCCACTAGGAACCCAAAGGAAAAATAATAATAATAAATAACAATCAGTTGTTCGGAAAAATTTTCACATCTTCAACTAACTAGTGTAAATTTTACACAATAAAATCTTTAAAAACTATAGTGATCTTTCTCTTTAGTAATTGAATAAAGAATTCAGAAAAAGACTTAATGAATGAAGAAATGTTTTCCTTTTCAATTAGGTCCTCGCCTCGGGCTCTACACTAACATATAGTTTAAAAATCTAATCAAATTACTAATCAAGTAGAGGAGGTTAGCCTAACGATAACCACAGATTTTAAGTAAGCCATCAAGAAGAAACTAATCAATAGAGTTATGAAGCAGACTATTCTTAGGTAAACGGAATGATTCTTGATGAGTGTTTAGCCAAACAGCAGGTGATTACGTAACAATAGGAAGATATATGAACATTGATAAGAACAAGAGGAGGAAGAGGTGTACAAAGGAATGCTAGAAGTTACATCCTGTTGACGGCCACGGTAATGAAAGTGGTCGAACAAACGTCTTTTGAATACAAAGATTAGTTCTGTAAAGGTGGTTAGCGATCGTCTCTGCTATGTGAAGTGACCGAGTGCATAATCCATGTGGTAAAGTAATTGAAATTTGAAGGCTTTTCTAGTATCAACTTGATGTCCCGTCTCAAATGGGTGTGCAAGTATGGAGCTGTTTATTGTTTTAATTTATCCCTTGCTCGACCATGATGAGTTGTGCTCAGAAATTCGACAATGGAACTGCCTCATTGTACGCTCAGTGTAACTAGCTTCGCAGGTGTAGTTGAATTGATAAATGCACATGGAAGTGTCAGAATCAGATTGTTTGTGTTTATTTCTTACACCTAGAA